AATTGATGGACTCAAGTGTGGCAGTGGTAGTGAGGTTGGCCCAGGATCGGACATTGTTTCGTTCTGCTGTGCATGGGGTTGCTATGAGTCGGTTCTGACTCGATGGCACCTGACAACAACAACAACCATGTATATACACACATACATGGTAAAGGGGGAAAATATAAAGAAATCATTGTATGATTGAATTACATCTAAAAAAATAAGCAAAGAGTCAATGGATTATATGTATTTGGATCAAAGGAAGTTAATAATCATAAGTTCACTGATAAATTTATCACTGTCTATATATCTCTGTATTTATATCTCGGTCTATATCTGTGTCTGGAATCTATTCAATTGTCTGATAACTACAGAAATGATCCTAATAAATCCCAACTCCCTTAGCTATGATGTAGCCGTAGACTTGAAGGTCATCATGCTGCTATGGACTTCTGGTGTGTCACTGTAAGATCAGCACTGGACTGTGAACCACAAGGTTAGCACTTCAAACCAAGCAGTTGCTCCTCAGAAACCCTATAAAATGTTTCCATTAGTAGAAACCGACTGAATGTCACTTGCCAACAACATATCTATATTTTGTGTTTGTAATTCATTAAATCTTCCAAGCCTATTTCATTGACCAAGTGTTTGCAAACTATTTATCTTTACACATTTCAGGTGCCATGCAAAAACGCCTGAAGAAGGAGAAAAAAGCCAAGAGAAAATTGCAGGAAGCCTTAGAATTTGAGTCACAGCGCCGAGAGCAAGTGGAGCAGACACTTAAGCAAGCCACTATTACTGACAGTGGCCTGAGGATGTTGAAAGGTAACGTACGTCATTTGGACTTTTACAATCATGGTACATAAAGCAAAATCCAATTTAAAGAGAGAAAGAAAGTATGTATCAAAAGAAAAGTAAAAGAAAAATTTTTCCATAAATAATTGAAAGATCAAGTTGATACTAAATGTTTAAGTCATGAATTACACCAGTCAAAATAATGCCTATTTTAGGAGATGCAAATAACAAAGAAATAGCAAGAAATTCTGATTTTTGTAGTAGAAACAATAATGCTGATACTATCATTACACCTAAAATGCAAGTTCTTTAGGTCTGTTCATCTTAGTATCTGCTTATGTTTTTGATCAGCTATATTTTGATCATCTATAGCGTAGTGGTTACGAATTGGGCTGTGAACCTCAAGGTCAGCAGTTCGAAACTACCAGCTGTTCCGCGGGAGAAAGATGAGGCGTTCTGCTCCCGTAAAAGATTTACAGCCTCGGAAACCCTGTACAGGGTCGCTATGAGTCGTAATCGACTCCACGGCACACAACAACAACAACAACATAGATTGCTTGTATTTTTGTTTGTTTGTTATTGTTTTTTAATACAGACTTATCAGGTCATTGTTGAGGCAAATAAAGAGTGCCTTGTTAAAGGAAGTGTTCTGTGTATATACCTGAATGGAACGAAGCATTTATATCATGAAATCTTGGTTCTATGAGTTTCTGATTTCTTTTTTAATCCTGAAACTCCATTACATCATTTAATTTTATAGAATGTTCATGTTTTTATTACATAGTACATTGGAAGATGGTATATTTAACTGAAATGAGTGCATACCAAAGATGAGTCTAAAGATATTGTGCACATAAACACAACCTTCAGCACACATATGGTATACAATAGAACTAAGATGGGGTGGCTTTGGTGTACTGTGCTGAGTGGATAAAAATTTATATTATCTGCAATCGTATTTTTTTTCTAGAAGTTCCATTCCTATTTTACTGTTGACTCTCTTGGACCATTATGCTCACCACTGATAGAAATATAACGCTAGGTCATTAAATCATGACAATTATGTCTTATTATTATGTAGAACAGAGAGAGGGCAAATAAACATGTGTTAATATTCATATAATGGGACATCTTGGTAAGTGGAAAGGTGGTCATAAAATATCTTTAAAAATATAATTTCTGACCAGTAATATAATAAGTGTTCTGTGCATATTTGTTACGTGGCTATGAACTTGAAATTCTGAGGAGATATTTAGCACAATGGTTAAGTTTTGTGTATGAACCTCACTCAATCATTCAGCAGGAGAAAGATCTTGGCAATCTGGTCCCATAAAGATATCAGAGATAATGATCATGCAGTGCCATATGTTACTATAATACCCATGGTGTCCAAGCAAAAGTGTACATACATAATCACCCATATTAAGCAAAAATGTTGTTGTTGTTGTTGTTAAGTGCCTTCGAGTCGGTTCCGACCCATAGCGACCCTGTACAGGGTTTCCGAGGGTGTAAATCTTTACGGGAG